GGGGGTGTGGCAGCCCTGCATCCTATTTGCATGCAGACACGATTGCTTAAAGGTGGACATAGGCACAACTTCTTAATGTAAACATGCATATATGTACAACTGACATTTGCAAAATTGTGTGCATGCATGAAGACTTACACGATACATGCAAGAATAATATGTGGATACATGCATGCATACATACATACATGCATACATTTTCAGAAAAATTCATGTACATGCCCATCCAGGACCCCCCCCTTCCCAAACAGCTCACCTAACTACTTCTGCGCGTCACAAGTCAATGAGGTCAGCTACGACTCGGCTTGGCCTTTCGTCTGGCCCACTCGGTCAAGCGCGCTTCAAACCTGATTGCGGGCACGTTCGGCATCAGGGAGTTCAACGGCTGGGACAGAGGCCTACAAAATTGGTCCTGGCTTGAATGCTGGCTTCAAAAACACAAGCCAAAAGGGCGGAAGCTCTAGGCCGAAACAGTGCAACACACAGAAAAAACAACACGAAGTGCGGCAAGGACGCAGAGCGCGCAGCCCGGTGTCAGGCACAAGGCCCAGGACAGCGCCCAAGAGCTGGGCCTGTGTTTGCGGGAGCTATAGACTGCTTAAAGATTGAGATTTCGATCTGACTGAGACATCAGCACGCCGAATCCACACGTCGGGCTCTAACTTCGTCTCGTCCGACTTTCGGGCTGGGCCCCTGGGCATGCTCTTAACAGCTACTTCTATCAGCACTTTCAGAGCATTTGAGAGCACTACGGTACTAGTAGCAGTAGCGCTTGCGGTGGTGGCGATGGTGGTGATGGTAGCGGTCGGTGGTGGTGGCGGCGGCGGCGGTGGCTGTGGTCGTCGTAGTCGTAGTAGTCGTAGTCGTCGTAGTCGTCGTAGTCGTCGTAGTCGTAGTCGTAGTCGTCGTAGTCGTAGTCGTAGTAGCAGCAGTAGCAGCAGCAGCAGAGGTAGTGTAGTAGTCGTCGTCGTCGTAGTGGCAGCAGCAGCTGTAGGGATAGCAGTTGTTGATTGTGCAGCATGCAAGGCCGACACCAGGCTCACTCTCGCGGGGCCAAGGCCCTTTAAATTATGATCATGCTCATGGAGCGAAGACGGCCCTCGCATACGTGCACGAAGCCCCCACCCACACACATGCACAACGAGGCCTCATAGCCAAACAAGACACGGGACTCCTTTTGCCACGCTGTGCAGCAAAACAGCAAACGATGACCAGCGGATACATCGGCGAACTAATTGACCCGTGCAGCAAGCGATCAGATGAGCGGTCAGAAGCATAAAGGCTTAAAAATGCAGTGAGCGCTGCAAGCATGACGGTGCTAGGAAAGTGCGCAAATCAGCCAAGAAGTCAAATGACTGAATGAATAAAACCAACTGGTGCACCAGTGTTCTGCAATGCCAAGGCCTACCCTGCATGCTGCCCTGGCAGGCCAGCACATCCTGATGGAAAGGAGCGTTCGCTCGGTTCCGGAAGATGGCTCCTTGCTTTGTAGCTAGATGCCATCCTTTGCACTGCGAGAGCTCGTAGTGAAGCACTGCAGTTCCGGAGGTTCAGGACTGCGGGCGCATGTTCACGATGTGGGGTCACCACAAGGACATCATAGACCTGGGTCTGTGGTGCATGCGCACAAACGGGAGAAGTCTTTGATCGCTGCCCAGTTGCGATCTTCAGCATCAAGGATTCGGAAAGAAAGCGATCAGCGCCAGGATGGTGACCACTTCGGCTGCAAATGTTGCTGCTGCAGTTGCTCCTCTCTGAGACGTTGCTGTTGCAGTTGCCGCTCTTGCAGCTGCTGTTCGTCCATCTGGTGCTGTGGCGGCCTGTTTGCAGTGCAGAGGGATCAGTATAAGAACCATCCATGGCTTGTGCGCTCTGCTCACCTGCAGCTCTTGCCGCGCCTGGCACGCAGCAGGTGGGCGGGAGGAGGTTGCGGAGGCTCCTTCCTCAGTGTATCCACGAGTGCAGGCCAACACACAAAATCTAATCAGGGCATGCCGGTCGAGGAGGCAAGAGTCGGGCAACAAAATGCCGCAGAGCAGTTTCAGGTCAACACTCTCTAAGTCCCGACACGACAATTAACCCCCGTGCAGCCGGCATCGGGTTGACACTCTTAAGATGATGCAGACGAGGCCCGACCCCCAAAACAATACTGTGGAGAATTACGAACACTTCCGCTCAAAGACCGGCGAAGTGCTGAAGGCTTTTTTGCAATCGATGCAAATTCGCCGGGCACTAGAGGCCCGGAAAAACCTGCAGGCTCCCTCAGGACCGCTGGCTGGGCAGCGGCGGGCGACTCAGCAGCCAGGCCAGGCCACCTGACAAGGTAGAGCTGCTTGGAAAGGGCAGGAAACAGGGAAAGGGCCCGTTGCATCCAAGCAGCCGAAAACCGGAAGCAGGGCTGAGACTGCGAACTGGGCCTGCCGATGCCAGAATGACAGAAGAGGTCGATTGCTTTCATTCGCGGGGTCCGGCCTTGTTCCCTGCACTCCATGAATCAGGGCTGCCGAGGAAAACGCCTGCCAAAACATTCTGGCCAGGTCCCGTTCTGAAACACCTCAACCCTCGTGCTGCGCTCGTTCGCAATGGCACACTAGCAGAGTTTGAAGCACTTGGTGCTTACCGGCCAGGACCACGACCTGCAAGCAAACCTATGGGCACGACGAGTGCTGAAATGGCCGGGGGCCACTGGTTGGGACAGCTCTGCAACCGATGTGTACAAGCTGATGCGAAGGCAAGAAAGCACTACCTGCATTATGCAGTCAGTGTTCGGCCATAATGTCGTTATATTGTTCGCGAACATTTTACAATTTACAACTCACAAGGCCCAATTAAAAACAAATTTTCCTGCGACCAAGACATGCTGCACTGAAGCAGCCTCATCCAAAGTGCAACTACGTCAATACAATACACAAAGACCAGGTTGTGATGGTGATGATGATGATGATGATGAAATCTGCCTGGTGTAACTATACTATCCTATACCATGGCGGCAATATATGCTACACTAGATTGAACGATGAAGGACCTCCAGCATAACACAAAACTGCGGATCATCATTCCAGATCACAGGCTTGCGAATAGCTGGGCATCTTGAATCATACTGCCTAACAGGAAAGCGCCAGTAACTTCACGTTGCCTCGCCGGCGTCCATCTTCCAGCAGCACCGGCCCGAAAAGCATCCAAAGCACCTGCAGAAGTGGATGCGTTCCGGAACATTCCACACGACAGCAATAGCAGTCTCAGGACCGTACCATGAAGTCAAGGCTTGATACGTGGGCAGTCAAACTACCTCGGCACATTTGCATGGTTTCTCAAACGCCGTCATTGCATGGCATCGCAGCAGCTTCTAGGCTTTGCACCGCTGTGCAAATCGCTTCTAATGGCCTGCTTCTGAGAAACTGCCGAAAACTGGCATGAAGCCAGAAAAGGCTTCGGAGGGCGAGAAGCCGCCGATCACCCCGTTTCCTCAATTGCGGATCGTGGCTAGGCTAGAAATCATGCCAGCAGACATGTCAGTGCGATGGAAAGGCATGGTTTCATGTGTAGGCCATTATTCTCCAAGTCTGGAACAAGGGAAACCAAATGGACACTGTCATCGAACAAGCCGCCCACAGCAAAAAGCGCCAAATAGGCAGCGAAAGCAAGAAGGACCAAAGCAGTTAAGCGGTTCTCGAGGATGTTCGCCGTGGCCCAGTCAATCTCTCCTGATTGACCTGCGCACGCACCAGGAACTTTGGAACCGGAGTGACCTCATCTGCATTGGCCTTCTGTGGGCTCTGGAGTCCGGACTTCAAGCGGCTCTTGCTATCATTGGTGCTGTCTCGCCCACCGCGGTGCTCTGAAGCGACCATGATTGTCAAGGGTGTGGGTGTTGGCCTCATACCAACCTTTCCTTGGTCATCAACCCGCCCTACTGCCAGTTGCGGCTTGCAGCTGGCCTGCCACAGACCTGTTCTCACGCAGCGCCAGGTAAGGGCTGAGAGCAAAAGCACCGAGGAAGAAAGATCCAGCCACGAACCTGGTCCGGAATAAGGCAATGCAGCCACCGCATGCTGCTAGGGCTAAGACTAAGGCTACGGCTAGAGCGGCTAGAGCTATATGCCTCCGATGTACTTGTCTGGCGGCGTCGCGTTACGGTTGAGTGAGAACACACGAATAACTACAGCTACACTACACATCACACACGTCCCCACACACGCACACACACAAACACACGCGCACACACACACACACACGCACTGATGGATTTCGGCAAGGGAAGAAGTCAGGAGGAGCAAAGTGGGGTTGGGCAGGATGTTGCAAACTGTCAAAACCATGCAACTGCTGTTATGTGAAACTGAATGCCTAATCTTGGCACAGGTGCCTTCTGCCTTCTAATCTTGCTGGCTCAGGGGCCAGCCTGTTGCTGGCACATTTTCACCTCCACATCACCTGGTCTTCGTTGGCCAAGACAGGTGACTGTGGGTTCCCGGCCCCTGCTGTAATTAGTGCTTTTCAACTGCCATTCTTTTATGCTTTCCAAACAGGTAAACCAAGGTTTGCAAAACGAAGGAGTCAACCTCTGCTCCCATGCGCCGAGGAAGTTCAAACACACACACACACACACTCGAACGCACGCCGACTGCAATTAAGCGGCGGCAGTGCCGGCGCTGGCGACTGACGATCGGCTCCCGGCAGCAAAGTGGCGGCGTAGATCATCGGCCAGATGCCTTGCACTAGGAGGAAATCGCAGAGGACCAGTGGTCGAATTGCTGCAATGCCACCCTTGCAGGCCTAGCATGTTGAAGATGCAGCAGAAGAGTGGGTTCACCGAGCCGTCGAAGGGCGTTGAGAAAATCTGCTGGATGAGAGCCTGTTGAAGACTTCCGTTTGGCAGGAAGTTGAGCTGTGCCAAAGCATGTTTTACCTGACCTGATCTGCCACCCGCTCGTCTGGACTCTTTCCAGGTGCCAGGAGCACAGAATAAGCCAACAGGGCCATCCAAGTACCTCGCCGAAAGTCGCGCACAATCAATCACACCCGCAGTGGCACAATCTTGCACAAGCAATTCAGGCCACGATACCTGCAATGGCCAAGCTCCTTGGTGATCAACAGCTGGGAACTTCAACAAAAGGAAGCACACATACAAGCGGTGTGCCTTCCAACTTCCAGGTGTCAGCAGTTTCAAACACCAAAGAATTGCTGCCGGGTCACCGAATGCGCCAGCGCTTCGGACCAAAAAAGCCATCGCTGGCCTACAAGGCAGGTTCACCCCCTTTTTTTGTGGTGCAGAAGTTGCAGCAGCGGAGCGCGGACGGCTTGCGGGGGTTTCATCCCAAGTCCCAAGGGCGAAGATATGCATACCGCCGGCGAGGCTGCCACGATAGCTTCCTAATGCTTCGTAAAGGACTCACAGGCTACTGAAACTTTGTCCCTTCATGCTGGCAGTAACCCATCCAACAAAAAACAGGCTTTTCGACCGGCTTGACGGAACCATGGCTCCAAGCCGTACAAACCAAAAGGTGGCCTCCGATGGAGACTGCGTGCCCAGCCCACGCTGCAGCTGCGCCGCTGAGCCCAGGAAGGCCACCCTCAGAAGAGGGGAAGGGGAGGGAGGGGAGGGGAGGGAGGGAGGGAGGGAGGGAGGGAGGGAGGGGAGCATTGACTCGTCGCGCTCTCGATTCTTCATGGTGTTGCCTCGCACTTGCTTTTTGCCAATCCA